GGAATATCTTGCCAAGTCTGAAGTTGCAGGAACACAGAAGGATGACAGGGCATCTGCCCCGACCCCCTTGGGTACGCTACTGGAAAATGCATGGGCCCGGAAGGACTTGATTGAACTTCATACCTTGTGGGGAGTATGGCAGATCTCGGATCCAAGCTGGTAACCCCAAAATGGTACGATCAAGTCATCAATTTGGGCATGCCATCGATAAGGGTCGAGCACAATGCATAAGTCTCGCATGGAAGCAAATCCCAGTAGAAGGTCACCAGGGAAAGAAATCTGGTCGACAACAAGGAAGGAAGCAGTGAAGTCTCTACCTTGGATAGAAAAAGTGAGGGAAGTCCGACCTCGGACACGCAGGTGAGAACCAGCTACTCCACTAAGGGTGGACACATGAGTCGGTTCTACGAGAAGGACATGTCGTAACTGCTTATCCCTAAACAAACTAGACCTGACAATATTGACTTGCGCACCAGAGTCCATGAACAAATGAACGGGCGCATTATAAACAGATGCTTGCACTATAGGGCCTATGGTTGCATTGGAAGTTATGTGCAAACAAAAAGGTGGATTGTCATCAGCAAAGATTTGTTCCACTTCATCCCCAAAATCATCTACGTCAGAGACATGTGAAGCAACATCATCAGCAGGATTGTCATTCTCGAGACTGCTTAAGGCTTCAAAGGAATTGTGAACGGGGATGGTGTACTCATTATCACCTACTGTCACCATGGGACGGTTTGACTGGGGCGCTCGAATTCCCCCGAATTGGAAGAATGAGCCTGGTTCTGGTTATTTTGAGAACCACGATGTCTGTTTCCTCTACGGGTTCTGCGGTTGGAACGGCCACGGAAAGACCTAGAGTACTGAAGGTTGTAGAGAGCAAATTTCACTCAGATGTGTCATGTCCATGTATTCTATGATAAGTACAGTAGGGAAGATCTGACTGGTACTCATCATCAGCACGACGCCTCTTAGGGTAACTATCAGGACAATTAATTGCAATATGGCCACGGAAACCACAGTTGTAACAAGTCCGCTGACTATGGTTACTGAATGTACTATGAATACTACGAGGTTTATAATGACTCTGTACACTGGTCCTTGGTGATCGCTGAGATGGTTGACGACCACGATTTGTCGCTGTGGCGCAAAAGGTGGTGCAGACTGAGGCATAGGTGTGAAATTACTTTTGATACATGGGAAAGTACCCTGGGGGCACAAGGAACGTACATGATTTAGGGCTGTAAGGGGTTCCATCGTCACAGTTGGGGGATTAGCCTCATAAGCACACACGGAAGCAGGCGGCATTAGTTCTTTGATTGCTCCAAAAGCTGCTATTTTAGCAAACGATGCTGTGGATGGTTTATCTTCGTCAGGGACAAAAGATGAGGACTGGACAGCATTGATAAATGATTTATAAAAGTTTGTCTAATCAAACAGCAAATGCCCTCAACGATTCATTAGTCAGGGTTGTGCATTCCTATTTCCCTTTAAAGAAGCTTTGGGATCAGGTTTTTTTACTGGTCGAGGAAAGAACGAACCCGTTCCCCAATTTGTGACCATTGAAAGATTCCTGAAGTCTGCATACAAGGAGATCAACAACTGAACAGCAGCAGCGGACCGTTTGAAGAGCTTCTTTCGCAAGTCTGATAAAAATTTCCTCGAAGGGGCCCTTCAACTAGAGCATTAACACGAGAACGAAAGGCAGTAAACCATGTTCAAGGATTTGTACATGGCCATTGAATAAAGGGAACGCTTAAGGGAAACACGAGTAAAATAAGTATCTCAGTGTTGGGTCGGGCGTCATCGATAAAAGGGAACTGTGAGGGGCTGATGACAGGGCAGCAGTTGCCGGAGGTCTGATGCGACATTCACTAAATATCACTTGAAGGCTGCCTGTGTACCACCGTAATTCACACAAACCCCGAAAACTCAGAAATCAAGACTTTCGCCACAGAAGACAACATCATACCGAAGAAAAACCTGGAAACATCATTATTTCATATCGACAAATTAAACCCCAATAGTGGTTCTATAAAATAGCTGAACCACTTGCCAAGAAACTTCTTCATCGCTACCCACATAAAGAACACAGAATGGAAGAAAAACTGTGAATGTTTTCACAAACTTATCCCAAACTCCTTTTAAACTACCCAAGGGTTTTAGACTCTGTAACCCCACTCGGGACTCATCAGACGCATTCTCCCCCTGACCCCACTTTGAACCCGACTTAAATACTCTCGTCCTTCCCCCCCCAGGTAGATCTGTTTGTGACTTGAAAAAAGTCACTGTTGGGCCCAAAGTAGTCAATAAAAAGGGTACATTTACTGCTATGTGTTTTTTTTTCCAAGTAAAAATTTAGAAGACTGAATTAAATGCAAAATGAGCTGTCTTACTCTTGCTAAAAAGAATTAATAAAAATTAAACCAAATTAAAAAGTATAAAAAAAAATCACGAAAATTTTTTGCAAAGGAGTTAAAAAGGGAAATTTAAAAATTTTTAAAATGCATAAACAAAATTAAAAAATAAACGACAATGTCAGGAAAAATAATAAAAAGAAAAAACTAGGGGTCAAACAATAATGAATAGAATAAAAATGCAAAAAAAGGGAAAAAATTCACTGCAGAAAAGTGCAACAAATAAGACGCAGAAATAAACACTGCCGTAAAAAGTTACCCTGGGAAAATGGTGGTTATATAATAAAGTAAAAATATGAAGATATACTGATTGAACACTTTAACTCTTAATTGTAAATAGTACCAAAACAATTTACTCAAACCAGGAGTAAGGAAAAAACCACTTTACGTTATTAAAAAAGAAATTGCACTAAGAGTGCTTTATTCAAAGAAATATTGAAAAATAATGATTAAAAAATAAAACAAGCAAACAAAAACTGGAAGCTGTACCACTTACAAGTAGCGGGGCACAACACTTTACATGTGGCGGGGCACACAACACTTACAAGTGGCCGGGCACACAACACTTACCCAAGTGGCGGGGACACACAACACTTACAAGTGGCGGGGCACACCAACACTTACACTGCTGGCGGGGCTCACAACAACTGACAAGTGGCGGGCACACAACACTTACAAGTGGCGGGGCACACACACTTACAAGTGGCGGGGCACACAAACACGTACAAATGGCGGCGGCAAACCACACACATATTCACTTTCATTTTTTTTTTAGTATATTCTACAACAAAATCTTGCTTGGACTGATACGGACAAAATTGCTGGCAAAATAATGGAACCACAAGGTCGGCGAAAAGATCTGGGAATGAGTGCTGGCATACGAAAAAAAGAACACATAAGAAATAATGGATTGATTGGTATACTGGGTGATATCACTGCATGTACTACAATGGCCAAATACTGGAGAATACAATGCTGAAAGTTCAATGATAAAAAAATGAATTACTTCACTCGGTGTGACTGGTACACTACAGAATAATACTTACTACAGACAGGTGTAGCATAAAATAAAACACATAAAAAATATGAGTGAGCGATAACACTGAAAAATTATTGCAAAAATAATGGTGTCAAAGAAACAATGGAGTCTACACCTGAAACACCTCGGCTTGAGTACACATGATATTCACTGTAAATTCTCACACACGCAAATGTCTTTAATGCCAAGAAAATGTCTCTAAACAGATAAATTATCACTGAAGTCTGGAGTAGTATAAGGAAGTGACGAGTCGATGAGGAGGAAGACGTCCTGTGTGGTGATGAGCCTCCTTCACTTACCAACTGTCGTCGTGAAGAAATGCGCTTTCTAGGTGATCTCACCATAAACTGGCTTTATCGTTGGAGCCAGACTACAATATCTTGACCAATTCTGTCGAGCAAACAGTACTAGGGACACGGTACAAGCGGTCGATCGCACTACAACAATATATAATAGCAAGGTAGATGAGTGAAGAGTGGTGTGGCGGGGTGGGTGAAGGGAGACGTACACTCGCCTTACTATGGCGCATACTCCCACTCATACTCACGATGGTGACTTAACTAAGCCACTAATATGCCCACAGGGAATGGTGATAATCACTCTTAGACTCATCCATCTGGCGATATATGAGACAAAACTTCAGAGGAATTGAATGGCTTCTACTTCTCTCTCCTAAGCTGGGTTAGAAGCTGGGTTGGCTGACTGGACTTAACCAGAGACTGGCTGGACTGGAAGACGTGTAACGATACACACAGTTTGAAGGAGCCGGGGGATGACAGGAGACGGCTGGATGGTAGGTGAGGTAGGCGGACTAGCGTTCACTTGAACAGTCTGGCTTACTGACTGCTTAATTGCACAAATTCCGGGTCAACCCCCATCCCCGGAGATTGAAGCATGTAGCACACGACACTAAAGACAGAAAGCTTGGGAAAAATGGCGCAAACAGGCTTGCAGGCTGGGGAGTTCCAGGGTGGAGAGAGTGAGGGGGTGAGAGCTAAGGGTGGCGGACGGTTCACCTTTTGACTGCCGGCTCCCCCTCAAACGGTCTTCCCCCACGTCTGAAATCCCTTAAATCTCGGTGTGCGGTGCCACCATTTGTCATGTGGGTTTTCGATACGTGGATAGGTAAAGTAATACTCCACGTAGGATGGTTGTACATATAACAGAAAGAATGGGAAGGCTCCAACAGCCGACCTGCCTCTCTCTGCTCCTATCTAGATGACCCCATGTGTGCATAAGGCGGGAGGGGTGTTTGAAATCCTGGCCTATGGGTCTGCAGCAATATGAACAGTCACAATGATTCACACAGATGGTTGGTTGTGAGAATTTACTGGTACACGGGTTATGGTACTGGTTTACTAGGAACTAGGTTACTACTTTATGAGATAGTTACCATCAACAGTGATGGTCTGTACTAGTTACCACTCGAAAGTGCTTGCTGTAATCAGCTACCACTCAACAGTGATGCCTGTAATAGTTACCCACTCAATGGTGATGCCTGTAATAGTTTACCACTAACAGTGATGCCTGCAATTAGTTACCACTCAACAGTGACGCCTGTAATAGTTACATCATAGCCCCGCTGCTGTAATAGTTTCCACTCAACAGTGTTGCCTGTATAGTTACCACTCAATAGTGATGACCTGTAATAGTTACCACTCACTTGTGATGTTGTAATTAGTTACCACTCAAACCAGTGATTCAATAAATAGTTGACCACTCAACAGTGCTGCCTGTAATAGTTACCACTCAACTGTTGAAGCCGGTAAAATAGTTACACTCAATTGTGGATGCCTGTAATAGTTACCACTCAACAGTGATGTCTGTATAGTTACCACTCAACCCAGGGATGCCTTGTAAATTCGATACACTCAATTGTGATTGACTGTAATAGTTTCCACTCAACAGTGATTCTGTATAGTGACCTCTCAACAGTTGATGTCTTTAATAGTTTACACTCAACAGTGATTGACTGTAATTGTTAACACTCAACAGCTGCTGCTGTATAGTTACCATCAACATGTATGTCTAAATAGTTTACCACTCCAACCAGTGCTGCCTTGTAAGAGTTACCACTCTCAACAAGTGATGTCTGTTAATAGTTACTACTGCACAAACAGTGCTTCGTCTGAAATAATTACACTCCAAAAGTGATGTCTGTAATAGTTAACACTCAACAGGTGCTAGCCTGTAATAGTTAACTCTCAACAGTGTATGTCTGTAATAGTTACCACTCAACAGTGATGCTGTCATAGTTTACCACTCAAATGTGCTGCCTGTAAGAGTTACCACTCAACAGTGATGCCTGTAATAGTGTACCGACTCAATGGTTGATGCTGTAATAGTTACCACTCACAGTGATGCTGCAATAGGTTACCACTCAAACAAGTGATGCCAGGTATTAGTTACCAATCAAATGGTGATGGCCTGTAATAGTTACACTCAACAGTGATGCCTGTAATTGATACAAACTCAACAGTGATGCCCTGTAAATAGCGTACCATCCAATAAGCCGCTGCTGTAATAGTTCCACTCGCAACACTGATGCCAGTATAGTTACACCCATCAACAGTGATGCTGTTAATATATTAACACTCAACAGTGATGCTGTAATAGGTAACATCAACAGGATGCTGTAATAGTTACCACTCATCTGTGTTGCCTGTAATAGTTACCACTCAAATGTGCTGCCCTGTATACGTTTACAACTCAACAGTGATGCCTTATTAGTTACACACTCAACAGGGAATGTCTGTAATAGTTACCACACAATAGCGCTGCTGTAATCGTTACCATCAACATTGCTGCTGTATTAGTTTCCAAACCTCAACAGTGGATGCTGTAACAAGTTACCCACTCAATAGCGCTGCCTGTAATAGTTACCACTCCCCAACACTGATTCCTGTAATAGTTACCCACCTCAACGTGATGCTGTATTAGTTACGCACTCAAACAGTGATTGCCTGTATTAGTTAACACACAACAGTGATGCTGTAATAGTTACCAGCTCAACAGTGATGTCCCCCGTAATAGTTACACTCGACCAGTGCTGCCTGTAATAGTTACACTCAAAGTGATGTCTGTAATAGATACCACTCAATCAGTGCTGCCTGTAATAATCCCCACTCAACAGTGATGTCCTGTAATAGTTACCCACTCAACTGTGCTGCCTTGTAATAGTTACCACTCAACCCAGTGATGTCTGTATAGTACCCATCAACAGTATGCTGTAACTAGTTAACACTCAAAAGTGCGGACTGTAATAGTACACTCAACTAGTGATGCCTGTAATAGTTACCCACTCAATGGTGATGCCTGTAATAGTTACCAATAAACAGTGATTGCCTGTAATAGTTACGCCATCAACAGTGATGCTGTAATAGTTACCACTCAATAGCCCGCGCCTGTACTAGTTACCACTCAACATTGATGCCTGTAATATTTAACCCATAGAATTAGTGATTGCCTGTCATGGTACCACTCTAATTGTGATGCTTGTAATAGATACAGCTCAACAGTGATTCCAGTAATACGTTACCACTCAACAGTGCTGCCTGAAATAGTTACCCACTCATTTGTGATGCTGTTAATCACGTTAACATCAACAGTGATGTCTGTAATAGTTACCACTCAACAGTGAGGCCTGTAATAGTTACCCACTCAACAGTATGCCTGTAATAGTTATCACTCAACCTGTGTGTCTGTAATAGTTACCACTCAACAGTGCTGCCCTGTAATTGTTACACTCAACAGGAGCCTTTAATAGTTACCACTCAACAGTGTAGTCTGTAATAGTTACCACTCAACAGTGATGCCTGTAAGAGTTACAACTAATTTGTGATGCTGTAATAGTTACCATCACAACCAGTGATGCTGTTAATAGTTTACCATATCAAACAGTGATGCATGTAATAGTTTTCCACTCAACTGTGATGCCTGTAATAGCACTCAAACAGTGATGCCCTGTTATAGTATCACTCAAATTGATGCTCCTGTAATAGTTACTAATCAAAACAGGTGCTGCCTGTAATAATTACCACTCACAGTGCTGCCTGTAATAGTTACCACCTCAACAGTGCTGCCCTGTAATTGTTACCACTCAAACAGTGAAGCCTATATTAGTTACCACTAACATTGGATGCCTGTCAGAGTTTAACCACTCCAAATTGTGTGCCTGTATTAGTTACCACTCAACAGTGATGCCTGTAATAGTTACAACTCTACAGGGATGCCTTTGTAATCGTTACCAATTCAACAGTGATGACTGTAATAGCTACTCCACCAGTGATGCCGGTTATAGTTATCACTCAACATGATGTTTTTTCTGTAATAGTTACTATCAACAGTGCTGCCCTGTAATAATTTCCACTCACCAGTGTTGCCTGTATAGGTTACCACTCAACATTGCTGACGTCAAAGTGTCCATCAACAATGATGTCTGTAATAGTTACCACTCAACAGTGATGCCTGTAATAAGTTCCCCTCCAAAAAGTGCTGCTCTGTAATAGTTACCACTCAAACAGTGATGCACTGTAATAGTTACACTCAATGGTGATGCCTGTATTCGTTCCATCAACAGTGATGCCTGCAATAGTTACGATCAACTGTGATGCCTGTAATAGTTACCACTCAGTAGCACTGCCCTTGTAATATTTACCACTCAACAGTGATGACTGTTAATAGTACCACTCCCAGTTGATGCCTGTAAATAGGTACACTCAACAGTGATGCCTGCAAATAGTTACCACTCAACAGTGAGGCCTGTAATAGTTACACTCAAGAGCGCTGCATGTAATACGTTACACTCACAGTGATGCCTGTAATAGTACCCACTCAACAGTGCTGCTGCTAATAGTTACCACTTCAACAGTGAGGCCTGTAATAGTTACCACTCACTGTGATGCTTGTATATAGTTTGCACAACTCACAGTGATGCCTGTATATAGTTGCGCCCACTCAACAGTGATGCTGTAATGTTACCACTCAAAAGTGCTGCCTGAAATTCGTTACCCACTCAACAGTGTTCGCCTGTTAAAGTTACCCCACTCAACAGTGATGCCTTAATAGTTCCCACTCACTGTGATTGCCTGTAATAGTTACTACTTCAACCAGTGATGGTCTGGAATAGTTACATCAGCCAGTGATGCCTGTATAGTTACCACTCAATTGTGATGCCGGTAATAGTTACCACTCAACAGTGGATGCTGTACATAGTTACCATAAACAGTGATGCCTCGTAATAGTTACCACTCAACCGTGATGCCTGTAATAGCACTCAACAGCCCCCCCGATGCTGTAATAGTTCATCACTCAACATTGATGTCTGTAATAGTTACTACTCAACAGTGCTGCCTCTGTATAATTACCATCACAGTGTTGCCTGTATAGTTACCACTAACAGTGTGTCTGTAATAGTTACCACTCAAACTGTGCTGAATGGAATAGTTACCACTCAAAAATGATGCCTGTATAGTACCATCACCCCGTGATGCCTGTATAGTTACCACTGCAACAGTGATGACTGTAATAGTTACCACTCAACAGTGCTGACTGTAAATAGTTTCACTCAACAATGATGCCTGTAATAGGTTACCACTCAACAGAGATTGTCTGTAATTTTACCACTCAACAGTGCTGACTGTAATTGTCCCACTCACAGTGATGCATGTATTCGTTACCACTCAAAGTGCTGGACTGTAATAGTTACCACTCCATCAGTGATGCCTCTGTTAATAGTTCCCACTCAACAGTGATGCCTGCTGCATAGTTACACCAACAGAACTGCTGACTGTAATAGTTAACCACTCAACAGTGATGTCTGTATTGTTCACTCAACAGTGCTGGACTGTAATAGTTACCCCCACTCAACAGTGATGACCTGTAATAGTTACCACCTCAAAAGATGCCTGCCTGTATTAGTTACCACTCAACAGTGATGCCTCTGGTATAGTTCCATCTCCAACCCCAGTGATTGCCTGCAATAGTTACAATAACAGTGATGCTGTCATAGTTACATCAATAGCGCTGCCTGTAATAGTTACACTCAACAGTGTTGCCTGTATTAGGTACCACTCAACTGTGATGCCTGTAATTTAGTTAACACTCATACCGTGATGCCGGTTAATATGTTGCCACTCAACAGTGATTGCTGTAATATTTACCACCTCAAAAGTGTGCCTGTATTCGTTACCACTCAAAAGTGCTGCCTGTATTAGTTACCAAATCAACAGTGATGCCTGTAATAGTTTACACTCAATGGTGAGCTTGCTAATGTTACACTTCTCAACAGTGATGCCTGCATAGTTACACTCAATTAGGTTGCTGTAATAGTTACCACTAACAGTGATGCTGTAATCGTTACCACACCAATAGTGATTGCCCTGTAATTGGTACCACTCATTTGTGTTGCTTGTAACTAGTCACCACTCAACATTCTGATTCCATAATAGTTCACTACCAGTGCTGCCAGTAATAGTTACCACTAAACATTGCTGCCTGTAATAGTTACCACTCAATTGTGATGGACTGTAAAGTTCCATCAACAGTGTTGTCTGTAATTGTTACCACTCACAGTGATGCCTGTAATAGTTACCATCAATTGTGATGCTGTAATATTTACCACTCAACAGTGATGTCTGTAATAGTTACCATCTCAACGTGTGGATGTCTATAATAGTTACCCACTAACTGTGGATGCCTCTGTAATAGTTAACACTCAACCAGTGATGCCTGGTATTAGTTACACTCAACAGTGAGGTTTATAGTTACTACTAAACAGTGCTGCTGTAATAGTTTACCATCACAGAGATGTTGTATAGTTATACCAAACAGTGCGGCCCTGTAATAATTACCACTCAAATGTGATGCCGTATATAGTTACTCATCAGTGCTGACCTGTAATGTTACCACTCAACAGTGATGTCTTGTAAATAGTTACCACTTTAAAACAGTGATGCTGTAATAGTTACACTCAAAAGTGCTGCCTGTAATCGTTACCACTCCAACAGTGATGCCTGTTAATAGTTACCATCAATGGTGATGCCTGTAATAGTTACCCACTCAACAGTGTTGCCTGCAATAGTTTCCACTCAACTGTGATGACTGTAATAGTTACCAACTCATGGTGATGCCTGTAATAGTTACACTAAACAGTGATGCAGTTAATTGTTACAACTAACCAGTGGATGCCTGTTTTATTTACCACCTCAATAGGCGCTGCCTGTATAGTTACCACTCAACATCTGATTGCCTGTATAGAGACCCCACTCAACAGTGAATGCCCTGTAATAAATTACCCCACCTAAAAGTGATGCCTGTAATAGTTAACACTAACAGTGATTGCCGGTAATAGTTACCACTCAACGTGATGCATGTAAATAGTTACACTCAAAAGTGCCGGCCCTGTAATAGTTACCCACTAAAGTGATTGCCTGTAATAGTACACTCAACAGTGATGCTGTAATAGTTACCCCACTCAAATAGCGCTGCCCTGTAATAGTAATCCACTCAAACGTGATGCTCTCGTATTTGTTACAACTCAAACAGTGAGTGCCTGTAACAGTTACCACTCCAATAGCGCTGCCTGTAATAGTTACCACTCAACAACGTGCCTGTAATAGTTACCCACTCAACGTGATTGCCTGTAATAGTACCATCAACAGTGATGCCTGTAATTTAGTTAACTCTCATACTGGATGTAGCCTTGTAATAGTTACCCGCAACCGTGATGTCCGTAATAGTTAACCCACTCGACAGTGCTGCCTGTAATAGTGACCTACTCAACAGTGATGTCTGTATCGTTCCCACTCTAAGTGCACTGCCCTGTAAATAATTACCACTCAACAGTGATGTCATGAATCGTTACCACTCAACAGTGCTGCCTGTAATTGTTACCACTCAACTGTGATGTCTGTAATAGTTACACTCAACGGTGATGGCCTGTAATAGTTACCCTCAAAAGTGGCTGCTGTAATAGTTACCATCAACAGTGATGCCTGTTAATAGATACCACTCCAATGGTGGATGCCTGTATAGTTACCCACTCACAGTGGATGGTGTAATAGTTACCACTCAACAGTGATGCTGAATAGTTACCAATCAATTGCGCTGCCTGTAATAGTTATCCACTCACAGTGATGATTGCATGTACTAGGTTACCACTCCTGTAGTGAGCTGTCATAGTACATCCCTTTGTGTGCTTGTAACTAGTACCACTCACAGTGGAATTCACGTAATAGGTACTCACCGCAATTGGGCTGCCTGAAATAGTTTCCCCTATTTGTGATGCCGGTAATAGTTTACCATCTACAGTGATTGTCTGTCATTCTAGTTACCACTCATACCAGTGATGCCTGTAGAGTTACCACTCAAAACAGTGTTGCCTTGTAGTAGTTATCATCAACAGGTTGTCTGAATAGGTACCAATAACAGTGCTGCCTGTTAATAGTTCCACTCTACATGATGCCTATAAATAGTAACACTCAACAGTGATTGTCTTTAATAGTTACACTCACCAGTGATGCCTGTAAGAAGTTACCACTCAATTGTGATGCCTGTATTAGTTACTATCAACCCTGTGATGCCTGTAATAGTTACCACTAACAGTGATGCCTGTAATAGTTACCACTCAACAGTGAGGCCCTGTATAGCATCTCAATACAGTGATGCCTGTTACTGTTATCCACTCCAACCATGATGTCTGCTGTAATAGTTTCTATCAACTCAGTGCTGCCTGTATAATTAACCACTCAACCAGTGTGCCTGTAATGTTACATCAACAGTGGCTGCCTGTAATGTTACCACGCAAAAGTGAGCCTATAATTGTTACATCATAGGGATGCCTGTAAGAGTTTACCACTCAATTGTGAGGCCTGTTATTAGTTAACATCAACAGTGATGACTGTTCAATAGTTACCACTAAAACAGTGTTGCTGTAATATTTTACCACTCAACCAGTGATGCCTGTAATATGCATCAACAGTGATGCCTGTAATAGTTATCACTCAAACATTGATGTCTGTAATAGTTACTACTCAACTGTGCTGCCTGTAATTAATTTCCAATAACAGTGTTGCCCTGTAATAGTTAACCCTCAACAGTGCTGACCGTAATAGTTACACTAACAAATGAATGTCTGTAATAGTTACCACTCCAACAGTGATGCGTAATAGTTCACCCTCAAAGTGTGCTGTAATAGTTACCACTCAAACAGTGATGCCTTGTAATAGTTACCACTCAATGGTGTGATGCCTGTTAGTTCCACTCAACAGACCCCCCCCCCCCACCCAAAATGGAAGCCTGCAATAGTTACCACTCAACAGTGTGCCTGTAATAGTTACCATCAATAGCCCGCCTGAAATATCTTACCAAATAACAGTGCTGCCTGTATTGTTACCTCTCAACAGTGATGCTGTAATAGGTCTACACTCAACAGTGATGACTGCTATAGTTACCACTTCACAGTGATGCTTAATAGTTAAACTCAAAGCCGCTGCCTGTAATAGTTACCCCAACAGTGATGCCTGTAATTAGTTACCATCAACAGTGATGCTGTCAATAGTTACCACTCAACAAGTGATGCTGTAATAGGTTAACACTCAACAGTGATGCTTGTAATAGTTGCCACTCAACTGTGATGCTGTAATAGTTGCCACTCAACAGTCGATGCCTGTAATAGTACCACTCAAAAGTGCTGGATGTAATAGTTACCTTCAACAGAGATGCCTGTAATAGTTACCACTCAACAGTGATGCCTTTAAATAGATCCACTAACAGTGATGCCTGTAATAGTTACACACTCAACAGTGATGTCTGGAAAGTTACCACTCAACGTGATGCCTGATATAGTTACCACTCAATTGTGAGCCTGTAATAGTTACCACTCAACCAGTGATCCTGGATAGTTACCCATCAACAGTGATGCTGAAATGGTTACCACCAACAGTGATGCCGGTACTAGCACTCAACGCGATGCTGTATACATAGTTATTCACTCAAACATGAGGTCTGGTATAGTTACTATCAACAGTGCTGCCTGTAATAATTACCACTCAAACAGTGCTGCCTGTAATCGGTACCACTTCAACCAGTGCGATGTCTGTAATAGTTACCCTAAACAGTGCTGAAGGTTTCGTTACCACTCTCAAAAATGCGCCTTGTAATAGTTACCACTCAAACAGTGATGCCTGTAAATAGTTACCACTCAACAGTGATGTCTTGTAATTAGTTAACCACTTCAAACATTGCTGACTGTAATAGATACCATCAACATTGATGCATGTAATAGTTACACTCAACAGTGCTTGGTCTGTTATAGTTACTCACAGTGCTGACTGTTAATAGTTACCCTCAACGTGATGCCTGTAATGTTACCACTCAAAAGTGCTGCTGTAATAGTTACATCAACTGGTGATGCTGTATTAGTTACCACTCAACAGTGATGCTGAATAGTTACCCACTCAACAGTCTGACAGTAATAGTTACCACTCAAACAGTGAATGTCTGTAATAGTTACCACTCACACAGATGCTGCTGTATTAGTTCACTCAACTCAGTGATGCCTGGAATAGTTACCCACTCAAACAGTGCTGCCTTGTAATAGTTACCACTAACCAGTGATGCCTGTAATATGTTACCACTCACAGTGTGCTGCATAGTTTAACTACTCAACAGTGATTGCCTTGTAATAGTTACACACTCATAGCGCTGCCTGTAATAGTTACCACTACCAGTGATTGCCAGTAATTGTTACCACTAAACAGTGATGCCTTAATAGTTTAACACTCCAACCAGTGATGCCTGTAATATTGCCACTCAACAGTGCTGCTGTAATAGTTACCTCACTCAAAGTGCTGCCTGTATTAGTTACCACTCAAAAGTGCTGCCTGTACTAGTTACACTCAACCGTGATGCCTGTAATAGTTACCACTCAATGTTGATGCTTGTAATAGTTACACTCACAGTGATGCTGCCAGTAGTTACACTCAATAGAGGTGCCTGTAATAGTTACCCTCCAACAGTGAGGGTGATGCATGTAATAGTTACCACTCAATTGTGTTGCCTGTAATAGATACACTCATTGGTAATGCTTGTAATAGGTACCACTCAACAGTGATTCCCGTAACTAGTTACCACTCAACAGTGTGCTGTATAGTTACCACTCAACCAGTGATGCTGTAATAGTTACCTCAACAGTGATTGCCTGTATTGTTACACTTCAACAGTGATGCCTGTATAATAGTTAAACTCATCAGTTGATGCCTGTACTAGTTGCACTCAAACAGTTGATGCCTGTAATAGTTACCACTCAATACTGCTGCTGTAATAGTTACCACTCACAGTGATGCATGTAATAGTACACTAACGTGATGCCTGTAATAGTTATCACTCAAAACAGTGATGCTGTAATGTTATCATCAACTGTGAAGGTCTTTAATAGTTACCACTACAGTGCTGCCTGTAATCGTTATCCGTCTACCGTGCTGTTGTAATGTTAACACTCCACCAGTGATGCCTGTAATATAGTTTCCCTCAACAGTGTTGCCGTTAATAGTTACCACTCAACGTGTGCTGCCTGTAATAGTTAACACTCAACAGTGATGCCGTAATAGTTACCCTCAACAGTGATGCCTTGTAATTGTTAACACTCAACAGTGATGCCCTGTAATAGGTACCACTCAACAGTGATGCATGTAATGTTACCACGCAAAAGTGATGCCTGTAACAAATTACCTCACTCAACCGTGTTGCTGTACTAGTTAAATCACTCAACAGTGATGCCTTGTAATAGTTTAACAACTCAACAGTGATGCCTGTAATAAGTTAACATCAACAGTGATGTGTAATAGTTACACTCAAACAGGATGCCCTGTAATAGTTAACACTCCAACAGTGATGCGGTAATAGTTACATCAACAGTGATGCCTGTTACTAGTTATCACTCAACAGTGTGCCTGGAATTTATATCATCAAACAGTGATGTCTTATTAGTTACCCACTCAACAGTGCTGCCTGTAATTGTTATCAGTCAACAGTGCTGCTGTAATTGTGTATCACTCAACAGTGATGCCTGTAATCGTTACCACTCAACAATGATGCCTGTAATTAGTTGCACTCTACCAGTGATGCCTGTAATCGTTACCACTCAAAGTGCTGCCTGTAATTGTTACCACTCAAAAGTGCTGCCTGTATATAGTTAACCACTCAACGTGATGCCTGTAATAGTTACCTCCTACAAATGGTGATGTTGTAATAGTTACCACTCACAGTAAGCCTGGTAATAGTTACCATCGCAACAGTGATGCGGAGTAATAGTTTACACTCAACGTGTGCCTGTTATAAGTTACACTCAACAGTGATGCCTGTAATAGTTAACACTCAACAGTGATGCCTGTAATAGTTAACAACGATGATTCAGTTTATGTCTCACAACATCAAATAGACACTAGAGCAACAACTCCAATTTTCTTGTTGCTAAATCCTCATTACACTCAGTTTAACACACCCAAAATGTGTTCGTTTAAGTTATCAAGACTTCAGACAAATGGTAATAGTAGTATTATACTTTCTTCAAACATTAGGCGGTAGTTCGAACCAGGTATGATACGATTGTAAACAATCGTATCGTAAAAGGACACAAGTGCAACTAATGTGACATTTATTGGGGCAACGTTTCGCTCTCCAGGAGCTTTGTCAAGCTTTATCCTGGAGAGCGAAACGTTGCCACAATAAATGTCACATTAGTTGCACTTGTGTCCTTTTACTTTACATATTGTCGGTAATTCTACCAACTTTATTACAACAATCGTATCATTACGATTTCGTCTGCCAGGTATGAAATTCATTGCAGAGTTTAGCCTCGACCTTAAGATAAGATAAGATTTCGTTCGGATTTTTAACCCCGGAGGGTTAGCCACCCAGGATAACCCAAGAAAGTCAGTGCGTCATCGAGGACTGTCTAACTTATTTCCATTGGGGTCCTTAATCTTGTCCCCCAGGATGCGACCCACACCAGTCGACTAACACCCGGGTACCTATTTGCTGCTAGGTGAACAGGACAATAGGTGTAAGGAAACGTGTCGGAATTTCCACCCGCCGGGAATCGAACCCGGGCCCTCCGTGTGTGAAGCGGGAGCTTTAGCCACCAGACCACCGGTCTGGATTATGTCTATAAGATAAAAAAGGGTTTGACATCTGCTCTTAGTAATAAGTAACATAATAAATTCAAATTCCTGCTGGTAATGTTGAAATATTACTCACGAAATCGTAATGACACGATTGCAAACAAACCATACCCCGGCCGGGATTGAACCCGCGGTCAGAGAGTCTCAAAACTCCAGCCCGTCACGTTAGCCACTAGACCAGCTAGCCACAATAAGATTCATCCAACTAGGTATATTTCTACACCACAGGAAGGTTAGCACAGGCACCACTGTGACCACAAATGCAAGTTTTTAAAGACGAATCTCCAGCTAGCGTGGCGGTGACAAACTCTAGCTCAAGTCCCCTCACTGGACGAATCTTATTGTGGCTAGCTGGTCAAGTGGCTAACGCGACGGTCTGAAGTTTCGAGACTCTCTGACCGCGGGTTCAATCCCGCCCGGGGTATGGAATGTTGAAATATAATTTCTTCTGGAGAGGTAATATATAAACATCTAATTGATAAACTGATATAAATATAGTCCTTTTTTATGAACAGATGATCTTTCCTCACTTAATGTAGAGCTGGACATAGCAGAGGCTAAGTAAATTACTTTTTCCAGCAATTGTGAAGTAACTTCCTCTCGCTGTGACAGGAAGATCAATAACCATTAGGCCATCTGGAGGTGGAGGGTAGTATCCATAAAGGTTGTTGAGAGTTGATTGTTTATGGTATCCAACCCTCACCTGAACAGAGCAGAGTGTGCTTGGGTCTTGTTTAATTATGACGCGGGTGACAGTGAGATTTTGAGGATATTCAAGCTGCCAAAAGTTCTGCTTAGGATTGCTGACCAAGAAACAGGATTGGTTGGAACAACTGTAGCCTGCCATTGCGTAAATTGGATTAGGCCCACCACTTACAAGATTTGGGTAAGAAGGAATGTTGTTGGCTGGTGGGAGAATACTGAAACACTTGGTGAAGTGTAGAGAGTTGACTGCTGAGCTGCCCGGCCATAAGTTAGACACTAGAGCACTGAACAAGCTGCACATATTATCTGAAACACAAAGATGATAATTACTTTTTCTGACACGGCTCTTGTTTATTCTGAATTAACTACGATGTTTTATAATGATATTCAAACAACAAAATAATTGTTAGGTAAGACACATATGCAACAGTTAGGTATCTTTATTTCGAAACGTTTCGCCTACACAGTAGGCTTCTTCAGTCAAGTACAGAAAAGTTGATAGAAGCAGAAGAGACTTGAAGACGATGTAATCAGTACATCACCCTTAAAGTTTTGAGGTGGTCAGTCCCTCAGTCTGGAGAAGAGCATTGTTCCATGGTCTGAAACAATATCAGTCAACGGAACAATGCTCTTCTCCAGACTGAGGGACTGACCACCTCAAAACTTTAAGGGTGATGGACTAATTACATCGTCTTCAAGTCTCTTCTGCTTCTATCAACTTTTCTGTACTCGACTGAAGAAGCCTACTGTGTAGGCGAAACGTTTCGAAATAAAGATACCTAACTGTTGCATATGTGTCTTACCTAACAATCTGTCGGTATTTTATACCATTTTAATGTTCAACAAAATAATTATCTGTTTGAAATGAAAATTAAATAAGTGGAAGACCAATTTCAAAAATACATCAAACTTAAGAAGTCTTATTCGTTTGGCCTCTTGTCGCATCTCTCCATTTCAGGAAAAAATCATTCGTTTTTTTTTTTTTTTTTTTGACCAGTGACCTGGTTAGAAGGGACAAGAAGTATATTATAGCTGTGAAAAAAAATATATTAAAAACATGACAGATGTCATCGTAGTCTGGGATGCTTCAGAATATTACTCTGAATAATGTTTCACGCTTCACTATATCCATCACCATCGAGTGGACACAAGATGATGGATGTTGCAAAATGTGTTATACAAATTCTACATTACCTGGAGTATACCTTGAGAGGATTTCGGGGGTCAACACCCTGGCGGCCCGGTCTGAGACCAGGCCTCGTAGTGGATCTGGGTCTGATGAGCCAGTCTGTTACTGCTGGTCGCACGTAAACGGACGTACGAACCACGTTCCTGCTGACAAAGTATGGGTTTTAGGTGCTCCTATACTGTGCCTTCTTGATGGACACTCAGGGGTCCATTTGAACATTCACCTTATGTATTGTTGGCATGTAGATTGTACTGTCTTTGGCCCTGACACTTTATTGTGTTGTCTCTTACTGTTACTCATGGCCGCCATGATTTTCATTAGGGAAATAATGCATTTCCTGGCGAGTCTTTTGTTTTCGTAGGTAGTGATTTTCGTTTGCAAATTAATTTCTAATCCCTCTGGGATTTTCCAAGTGTATACGTATTATCATGCAACTTTCTCACCTCGTTCCAGTAAATACAATTCAAAGGACTTCAACCGTTCTCAGTAATTTAGGTGCCTTATCATTACCTTATGCATGCCGGGGAAATATCTTTGTCCATCTCCAGGTCAGCAATTTCGCCTGCCTTGAAGGGGGCCGTTAGTGTACAGCAGTATTCCAGCCTAGGAACCAGCACTGCAGGAACTGCGTAACGAAAGAAACACAAGAGAAATGGCGGAATAACATTGGATTTACATAATAGTTTAAAAATTGTGTCATTGATGCCGAAAATGGGTATAAGTTTATTCAGGTATACACAAATCATAGATTAATCATACATAGCAGCATATGTATAGAGAACCTGGGATAACCCAAAAAAGTCAGACAAAGTAACTTATTTCCATTGGGGTACTTTGCTAAATTTGATGACCAAGAAATAATTAAATGTCATGGGTTGCTGTAAATGGTCAACTTTCTTCGGAAAGAGCTACAATTATAGCTGGATTGTGGAAATAATTGAGGGACGCTGAAATGTTGAGCATCCAACACCATGTATGTACTCTTCCTTATTTTTCAATATTTTCAGTTGGTCAATTTTATGTTAGCTGTTGTTAGGGAAGAGTTAGGATGTGATCTACCAACTCTAATGTGTGACCCAAGAAATATTTGGGGTTAAGTGTTATTTATTAATATTGTCATATAATATAGTTTATGTATATCTGTGGGTAATAATTTGTGACCTAACAGAATTTCCAGTGTTACTGGTTTGTTGTAAATTCAATAATTGTTCGTATATCTTAACGGTCCAAACTTAGGTGGATGTGACCCATTGTTCCCCCTCCCTTTTGCTTAAATCCCTATCTATCTCTGAGGATCAAAATTACATCAGTAAGTGCAAACTTTAATTTAGTTACACATGCCCCAAATTATGTACATGAAAAAAATCAGGTCAGTACCTGTGAACCTCATGTATATAATTTCTCACAACTTTCGTGTAGTGCCATAATTAGTTAAAGGATTAACGACCTTAACTTGCATTTCTGAAGTGATTTTATTCTAAAGGCGTCTGTAAGATGGGTATGTGAAGTTTAGACACTTGTCACAGATGCTATTTTCCATAGATACGCCGCAGAGCACCATAACAAGTCCAAGATCTCATTCAACAGTTTGTCGAAGACATTAAGAAAGGATCAATGAAAATACGACTGTTAAGGTATCAGCCTGAATGCTGATACCATTTGTGCGAAATTTTGATGAGGAGATTTACTGGTACATTCCTGAAATATTTTATCCACATAATTTAAGGGGGACACAACTAAGCAACAATTTATTGTACTTATCCATGTTGTACCTCAGAGCTAGGTGGGATTTTAGAGACACTAGGCTGCACCGCTTTCTCCTCAGAGACCCACACACACTCTTTCCCACTCACATAGTCGGGCCCATGAAATATTACACACGTAAAAAATTTAATATCATAATGTTGGTAAATTACAAAAAGTGAGTGGACTGTATGATGGTTTTGGGACTTGGAAAGGAGAGGTTGGGGGGGGGGGGGCGGGTGGTAGGGGTAGTGTACTGTTGTGCATATAGCATTTTTACTAAAAAATTATGAATATTATATAAATAGATAGAAAGGAAAATTTAAGCTGAGCACTCACCACTTAAGTACTGGATCACAATTATTATTTGTGGAACACACCCTAACGCCAACACAAAGTTACTGTACATTTTGGGTAAGCGTCACTTAGCTAAGGTGTGCTGCCGCGAGAATCGGAATCCTATTTTTTCCATCCTCGCGAATATGTATACGGTTTTCACATATTTTTCCAATTTTTCAGAAGGAACATATCAGCACTTTCTAACTGGCGTATATCGGACTGAGGCCGATATACACCAATTTGACCTCAATGATGCCTGATTACACAAAATGCCGCAACCAGTGTTCCCAGATTATTTCATTATAGCATCTCCCTGTATCCCCTCTTTCACTCTGTGGCCACTGCTCACCATCCTTCACACAAAATTTCTTGAAGGGGTAAATTTTTATCTATTCGCTGGTGCAATATTCGACGTGGCAACATGACACCCAAGAAGATGCAGTGCCATATGACACAGGAAATGCAAACTCACCTTCCTGTAGGCTTTGTCACCCTGAAATGTGTCCCTCTTCAGTACAGGAAAGACTGTGCTATAACTTAAATTGCCAGGCACACCGTCTTAAAGTGGACAAAAAGATACCAAAACATCCGGCCATGGGAAAAAACCTGGGGTAGCCAAGCACTCAAGAGGGAGAGATTTTTTAGTGCCAGGAAGGAAAAAAAAATGGCAGGAATTGGCGAAATCGCTCCCTCCACCTAATCCAGTCATTCATGGAGTGGAAACCAGTCGATGGCCTCCACTCCAAACCAACAGGATACTAGTGCCGGAAAAAAAGTCCCCCCCCAGTACCAACAATACCACCAGTCCGATGACATTCTTCTTTGCAAATATACAGGGTCTAAAGTCAGCAACGAACAACAAAATACCTTTCATCCATGGACTGCTTGCAGAGGCAAATGCAATATTTGCGGCTTTCACAGAGACCCACATAAAGGATCACTTGGAAAACGAAATATGGATCCCAGGTTACAACCTATACAGATGTGACAGAGTGAACAGGCAAAAGGGGGGCTTTTGGCCTGTATATCGCAGAGTCACTTGTTTGCACAGAACTGCTTAATGCCTCAAATGATGTAGTGGAAGTTTTAGCAGTAAAGATCGAGAACCAAAACCTAGTCATTGTGGCAGTCTACAAGCCTCTGGATGCAACGTCCCAGCAATTCCAGGAACAGCTGTCAAATATTGACCACTGTCTGGTAAATCTGCCCGCTCCTGCTCCAAACATCTTGTTCCTGGGGGATTTCAACTTGAGGCACCTAAAATGGAGGAATATAGCAAATGATGATGTTGCAGTGATAACACCAGGAGGCAGCTGTGACGAGAACTCACACACACACACACGAGCTTTTAAATCTCTGCACAAAATTCAACTTAAACCAGCAAATAATAGAGCCTACTAGACTGGAGAATACACTAGACCTCATCTTCACTGACAATGATGATCTGATACGAAATGTCACCATATCAAAAAACAATATACTCAGATCACAACATAATCGAGGTTAAGACATGTATACATGGAGCCCCAGACCGACAAAATGAGCTTAGTCACGAGGGAGCCTTCACCAAATTCAACTTCAATAAGAAGAACATAAAGTGGGACCAAGTAAATCAAGTCCTAAACGATATAAGCTGGATAGATAGACTAAGCAACGCAGACCCCAACTTATGCCTAGAACAGATTAACTCGGTGGCACTCAATTTATGCTCAAGGCTTATTCCTTTAAGAAAAAAGAGGAGTAGATGTAAAATAGAAAGAGACAGGCGCTCCCTTTACAGGCGACGGAAAAGAATAACAGAGCGGCTAAAAGAGGCCAATATATCTGAAATGCGTAGGGAGTCACTGGTCAGAGAAATAGCAAACATCGAACTTAAGCAAAAGGAATCTTATAGGAGTCAGGAATATCAGGAAAAACTAAAAGCCATAAATGAAAACGAAAGAAACTCTAGGTATTTCTTTTCTTATGCCAAATCAAAGTCGAGAACAACATCCAGTATTGGGCCCCTACTTAAACAAGATGGGTCCTACACAGA